CAGGCCCAGAACAAGACATGACATAATGTCTCAAAAGAAAAGGTGGATCTGAGATAATCTATTAAAGCAGACAACCAATGGAAAAAGGAAGACGGTGACGTGAAAGTGACCTTTGAGCATTTCTAGGATGCTTAAAAGTCAGCTGCAAAAGAGGAGAAGTGGGTTTTTCCTTCCGTAAGGTCTGCATGGTCACAAAGATGGATCAATGATGCCTTGGATCTACGCGGAGGAGAGCTCTGAGCTGAGGGGCTGCAGCAGAGCACCTGTATGAGCAAAAGGAAATTCCCCAAGACCCAATACCACAGCTTTGGATTAAGACTCACTCTGGCATCCTAGAGGATGGCCATGGGCCTCCACTCATGCTGGGAACTGGGTCCCCCTCCCTCTACCAGGACCGATCCCATACCAACGGACCATGCTGGAGCTTGTGGTTCAGTTGTCCGTCTCACAAATTGTTCTCCCAGGCAGTGATAGAGATTAGGATGAGAGATGTTGGATTGAAGTTGATTTTATTATATCGTTGTCTCTTTGATTTAATGTTTGCATCTATTTTCTGCTACTATGCTTTTTATTTTAAACTATGTAGTAGGTGGATGGTGTCTGCAAAAGCCCTTGTCCAGGAGCAGAACTCAATAGTTTATAAAAATTGTTAAAAACAATTCAAGGAATTCTAAGGAATACTAAAGTAATAAGTTATGGCAACTAAGTATGAATATTCAAATAAGTAATCATGCAAATATCAATACATTTAATTAAAAATCATTTGTATTTATTTTCCAACTCAATTGAAATTGAGTTTTTGTCAATACAGTCAGAGAAAATAAGAATGTAAAGAAATCAGGCATTATTGGGAGGCATCAGAAGTTCCGAGGACCCCATGACCACTTCCTGTTTCTGCCTTTGCTAAAAGAGGTAGGCAGCTCTGATATGTTATTCTTTAGTTTTTTCTTCCGTTTTATTCCTAAGTTTTTGTCACAACCATATTGTGTCAACACCACACCTGAGAATTTACAAAATTCTGATAAAACTTTGTAAAATAAATGCTTAATTTTGGTTTATTGTAAAGATTTCAAGGAACTGATGAGCTACAATATGGCCTCTTTCAGATTAGCATCATATAAATTGAGATAGTTTGGCATTTTTTCAACACCGTCAGTTTTTACCTGACAGTATTTTCTTCCTTAGTGATGTTTACAAATCTCACTCAAGTGGGCAGTTAATACATTTTAATGTATTTTCACATAAATAGCATTACTTCACATGCATCAAATATTTCTTTTTAAATATGTTTCTGTTTATTTTCAGAAACGTGTAGTTTTATGAGGGTGGAAGAGGAAAAAATTAAAAATATCAATGATCTGATAAGAGGCATGTTGTATGCTGTACAACATTTCAGCATTTATTTCAACAAGAATGAACAATGCACCTAGTTGTCATTCTAACTGCAGTGTTTTCTTTTTACTCACTGGTTCGTCACCACTGTCAGTTCTGTCAACTCTGTCAGATGGACTTTATGTTGTTTTTTGTTTTAAATAATATTTCTTTTGTTTCTTGAGAAGCATTTGTCTGTAAAACTGAGTAAAAATATAGGCTCATTAAAAATAATTTTAAATTTGTTTTTGTCTGA